AAAAATTAGAAATCAGGAATCGACTTCAAAGTTCAAAATTCCGACAAACGGTCAGACAATAAATGCAGCACCGGAACTCTTACAGACTTTCGACAAAGCACCGAAAAGCCTGGAGAATTGAAGGAGTCAAGAACGGGAATCATTCCAAGATCCCATTACACCGACTAAAGGTGGGGGCAATCATATCCAAAGTATTCCAGACTCTTCTATAAAAGAACGAGACTGAAATACTTTGGAGGGAGTATCTGTAGGCATATAAAATTGCTTATAGGTCCCCTAGCATAGCTCGGCACAAACCGACGAACCAACGAGGCGACGAGATCGACGAATCGCACGCAAGCGACGGAATGCATCCATACTCGTTCGGAATCAAGCCAAGTGTTAAAGAGTCAACGAGTCATCCAACCGAGAGCGGACTCGGACAAATCACGATCGAATCAAGATCAGTTTCGGACTCGAACTCAGAAGCGGATTTACTGCCTAATCAGGAATCAGACTTACTGCCAAATCAGGTCAACAAATCGAAACAGAACCGAATCACAGAAAGAACCGGAAACAACGGAAAACAACCAAACCCACCACCTAGAGGGGCTCGGCCGAAGCCGAGCCACCTTCAGGTGGCTCGGTGGCCGCTACCTCAGGGTGGCTCGGCACAGTGCCGGCCACCCAGAGGTGGCCGACAGTGGCCGACAGTGGCCGACATGTCTCTGTGCGCGGGCACAGTTCAGAAAGCCTATAAATAGGCCAGGCAATGTTCATTTTCAGAGGTTGGAATTTCAAGAGCCAAAACTCTGCCGGATTGAAGAGTGAACTCAGAGCTTTGAAGACTTGAAGACTTGCACGTACAGATCTGATCCTCGGCGAGCACCTACGTCAGAAAAGGCAGGATTTCGAGAGGAGACAAAGAACAAATCTGAGATCTACACGATATCACACTCCGGATCTAAGCTTGGTCTTAGATCCCGAGATCTGGACGATTATTTCCTTGGTGAATCAATCCTCCCCGGCTATTATTCCCTTCGTGGAATAATACCCGTATAATCGTGTAGATCCGATCGGATCTAGATCGCGTGGTGGTCCACGGATTAACTCCGGCGTTGGCAAAGAACCCACCAAAGCGAGCGACCGCGAAACAGGAGCTCGCGATTTGTTCACAAGAGGAAAGTTGTAATTTTTATTTTTTTTCTTTGATTTAGTTGTAGTTGTAACCGGATCTATAAAAGACCGGATCTTTGTAATCCAAGATGACAATTATTTCAATGAAAAAGACAACGACCGGATCTTTGTAATCCAAGATGACAATTATTTCAATGAAAAAGACAACAGTTTTCCCCGCGAACAATAGCCTTCTGGACTCTGTCAAATTATAACTTTTATCATTGATGTTTGAT